GTGTGAATCGGGCTCTAGAATGTTGGGAGGGACATCTTCAACGATGACAGGGGCCTCTTGAACGGTGGGAGGTGACTCTTGAGGGATGATAGGGGCCTCTTGAACGATAGGAGAGGCCTCTTGAATGATGACAGGTGAGTCGGGCTTCTTCTTACGGAGTCTTCGCACTATTGGGGTGAACAGAGACTTAATGGCACGTGCACGCCGTCTGATGCGTGAACCCCGTCGTGCAAGAAAAACCCGACGTAAAGCATCCACCTTATCGGGACGCTAAAAATAAATTAATATATAAAATCAGTAAATAAACACACATGATATTAAACAGTGAAAACAAAGACAAATATGTTTCAAACTTGCACGGTATTCACCCAAGTCATTATTCTATCATAGTTCACAAAATGCATCAGATAACATTCCGGAAGTAAGCACTTATATAAACATTTAAAATGACAACATATAGGTTTAGTGCATGTTCAAGGACAACATAAAGGATAGTAGTTTATTCTTCAAACTTAAATTTGCAACACTGTGAAGTTAGTATTTGTCTTTGTCTTTTGGTTGAAGTAATGCAATCCATTCAAGTTTCAATTTGTAGAAGAAGAATAGTTTCTGAAACTTAAAACCGCAACATGAAACTTAAAATCGCAACACTAAAATTATTATCGCAACGCGAAACCAAAATCGCAACGCGAAACTAAATTCGCGTTGCGATAGTCATTTCCGCGTTGCGATAGTCGTTTTCGCATTGCGATTATCCCGTTGCGATAGTCAAATTCGCGTTGCGATAATCATTTTCGTGTTGCGACTATTCTTCTTCTGTAAATTGAAACTTGAATGGATTGCATTACTTCAACCAAAAGACAAAGACAAATACTAACTTCACAGTGTTGTAAATTTAAGTTTGAAGAATAAACTACTACCGAATGAATTTACTAAGCAATCCAAAAGACAAATATGAATTTACTGACTTCAACCAAAAGACAAAACAAAGACAAATACTAAGTTATTTTAGAACCGTTTAGCAGTATTGGCAGCAACCGAATGAATTTACTAAGCAATCTAAGTGAAATGGTTAATCTAAGTGAAATTACGAGTAAATAAAGTTAAATGAAAAATCTTAAACTTACCTTGTTGCGTAGAGTATAAACCTCATTCTGCAACGATGTTACCATCTCACGTAGAGCCGCTACCTCACCACGTAAAGCAGATACCTCCTCACGCCATTCACCATTGTCATCGCGTAAAGTACTGACCTCCTCACGCAAGGCATTGACCTCATCACGTAACTCCCCTAACTCATCCAGTGGAGGTGGAGAACAGGGAGATAAATGTCATGGCATCTTTGTCGGTCGCCTATCATGAGGTGATGGTGGAGAAGAGGCTCGATGATGTGACAGAATAGGTGATGACTCTCGTTGTAGAGGTGTATAGTGTGGTCGATCAGATGATAGCTCTGGCTGAGGTGATGGCTCTCGAAGTGGAGGATGCTCATCATCCGTGCCATCAAAAAAAACGCTTACTAGCTTGCCACCAATCAGTGGCAAGCTCAGCCTCCGTGGGTGTCAGCCTCTGTAATGGAGTATTGGCCTCCTAACAATATAAAAGCTCAAATAAAGTTAAACGTATACTAGTAATAACTTGTTTATATATGGTAGTATTTGTGTTAACTTACATCATTTATTGTCTTATACCGTAGTAACTCTTCCCAAATCAACAGCCACCGTTTCCTCTTCCAAGAAATAGCCCTAGGAATATCATTTGAAGTTTTGAATGCATATGTCTGCATGTCGGGAAAAGCCTCAAATATCCAAATCTACAAACAATATAATACACAAACATTAGTAATTGTTAAAATAATTAATTATAATTTTGGAAACATTATATAGAAATTCTTACCTTAAAGGCCCAAATAAAACCTGACAAAGTGTATTTGGAACCATCGCCACGCAAACTTTTGCGGTCATCAAAGGCAGACGACAACTTATTCCAGGTAGCTTTCCATAGATACGAACCCCACGGAAATAGGTTCCATGCATTTAGGTCCTCTACCAATAATATTAGGTCCTTAGGAATAGGTTGTCTTCCCTCTCTGCCTAAAAAGTCGGCATGCAAAAGTACTAAAAGGCATACTCGGACAACATCGACGTCAGCCATCCGAGTAAAACCATCTTTCTTATTAAATAATCTCGTCAAGTCGTCGACGTGTAAATTCGGCTTCTCCATTGACAGCTCAGGAAAAACCCGGGATAACCATGATGGGCGGGTAATATGACTAGCGTATCGACCTACATCATTGTGTCCGAAGCGTAGACCAGTAATTAAGCAAAACTCCTCCCGCCCAAAACACGTATACGACGGTGGAAAATGAAACCATATCTCTTCATTACCACGTTATATACTCTCGGGTAGATCGCGTGTCATGGTCTGAAGCCACAAATGGGTCAACATAGCATCTCCACCCGGATGTTGTACTTTCAGCCATGGCCCGAAGCAAGTATCCTCAAACAATTGTCTTTATACAGGTGAAAGCTTCGACGCAATTGTAGTGACTAGGCTTATTTTATTCCTTAAGGTCAATTGAGCCGAAAAAAAGTTCTACAAAAACAATAAACATACCAAGTTAGATATACCAAAAACTACACTGTGAATATATACCAAAAATAATAATAAACATAAATCGTAGTAGTTTATTCTTCAAACTTAATTTTGCAACACTGTGAATTTCGTTTTTGTCTTTGTTTTTTGGTTGAAGTAATGCAATTCATTCAAGTTTCAATTTACAAAGAAGAATAGTTTCTGAAACTTAAAATCGCAACACGAAAATGAAAATCGCAACACGAAAATGATTATCGCAACGCGAATTTGACTATCACAACGCGAAATGGCTATCTCAACGCGAATTTGGTCGTTGCAATTTTCATTTCGCGTTGCGATTATCGGTTTCAAATGGTCATTGTCTAAAATTGAAACTTGAATGAATTGCATTACTTCAACCAAAAGACAAAACAAAGACAAATACTAACTTCACAGGGTTAAAGACTAAACAGTAGCAGTATTGGCAGCAATCTATTATTGAAATTACCAGTAAACTTATCATTAATTTCAATATGAAAAACCTAATAATAATGCAAAAATTTCAAAATAAAAATAATTAAAAAAACTAACCCTCGGTGGTTGATTTGGTTGATTTTCCATTTCTGATCGTGAATGATTGTGAGGGTGGCTCTGTGAGATGGAGATAGACAGATTTCGCCGGAGATGGGGACGGATTTCGCTGGAAATGGGGACGGATTTCGTCGGAGATGGGGACAGATGTCACCGTAGATAGTGAGAGATGGAGATGAGACTGAGTTATGATTTAGGGTTTTAGGTTAAGAGTTGCGATTTTGGGTAAATATTCGTGTTTGGAATTTGAAAATAAAATACGCGTTGCGATACTAATGGCGCTTTGAAAATCGCATTGCGAATTTATATTATCGCAACGTAATAGTCAGAATCTCGTTGCAATAGTCAGAATCGCGTTGCGATCACGTATTATCGCGTTGCGATAGTCCGAATCGCGTTGCGATAGTCAGAATCGCATTGCGATCACGTGTTATCGCGTTGCGATTTATATATTCACATTGCGATTTACATATTCGCATTGCGATTATCTAAAATCGCAACTCGGATTTCAAAAATCGCAATGCGATGGTCAAAATCGCGTTGCGAATCTGGAAACTGAATTGCGATAATGGAGATCGCGTTGCGATTTAGAGATCGCATTGCGATTTTGTTGGTCATTTTGGCAAATCGTAAAAAAGTTGGTTAAAATCGTATATTATAAGGAATTTTCGGTCACTGAGGTTATTTTCTCAAAGTAATAATCCACCACATGCAGTTTTTTATAGGGTAAACTAATTGAATAAGAATGAATGCGGTGATTAATAAATTGGTGTGATTATATATTTGATTTTTAATATTTTTATATTTAATTAATTTGATTTTAATTTTAATTTTATTGAATAAGTTAATCAAACAATCAACAGATGACATGTATTAACATATGATCTTAACACATTTCACATTTGATATGTATCAACTCTTGATCAGAAGTTTTTTTATAAATTTAATTTATTTAATTAAAATTTTTATCTAATTAAATGAATACACATGTCACTTTCTGATTGGATAAAAATAAATCAAAGATAACTTGCACTTTGAAAGGTTTGAACTTGTGTCACTTGGTTAGAAGAAAAACACCATTAATCATTCTAAACATTAAGATTTCAAACAAAATCATAAAATTTAAAAATATTCTTTTAGAACAATCTATCTTTTAAAAATGTATTTTTTAATTTTTTTTTGAAAATATTCAATTTTCAATATATTTTTACATTGAAATTATTTTAGGATTTAAAAAAATAAATTCAGAAATAAAATTTTGATTTCTATACAAAGATCAAATTAATAAAAAGAAATGTGTATGTACTAAAGGTCCGTTTGTTTCACTGAAAACGTTTTCGAAAAATGAAATCTGGAAAATATTTTACATAAATGTAAATCATTTTACAGAAAATATTTTCCAGTATTTGGATGGTATTGTAAAATGTTTTACACTGTTTGGGTAATTTTCCTGAAAATTGTTTTCAGAATCTGTTTTTAATGAAGAAGCTGTACATATTGAATATGTTTTATTATTTATTATTTTTTAAAGGTTCATTTTTTATATATAATTATATTTGATAAAAATATGTATTTTAGATAATATTAATAATTGATTAAAAATATATCATAAAAGTTGATTAAAATATGTATTTTCAAAAAACTATGCTTTGTTTTTTTAGCCAATAAAGTTGCTAATTTATTATTGCAGACGTCTTTAGTTTTACTATTGTCTTTGAACTACCTCTGAAATTAATGCAGTAACAATACAAAGTAAAGAAAATTAGCCTTGGATTTCATAAATAAATCAATGTGAAATTAATGCACATTCTAAGGCAAAATTTTAAAGGCTCTCCTCAAGTAACTAAAGGCACATAACAAGTGTTCTCATCATTTGTGCATCTAACCATACAACAAAATTATGTTCCAAGGTATATATGCTACTATTCCTTCAGTCAAAGCCTAAGCTCACAATCCTAAGAAACCAAGCTCACTGGCCTTCTCCTTCTCGAAGGTCTCAAAATATTGATAAATGATTGTGACCGCAAGAAGTATGCCGGTTCCTGATCCAATTGCTCCCATAAGATCTTCCAAAACTGTGAGTGCACCGATGCACATGCCTCCGAACGCAGCAGCTGTGGGAACGTAACGGTTCAACTCTTTCTGTAAGCTTTCCTCGCAATGGCCAGGCATAACCATTTGTTGTTCCTGCGAAATAGCATACAAAAAATGATTCATCAAACGCTAAACGAAGAGTAATGGTGCCTCAACGGATGAACTACATGCATAGCATACTCATCTTCCTAGTTCCTAGTGTACTCAATCATCCCAGGCGGTTAGTGGGACTAAAGGAGATTAGTGGGGATTCTTGGAGAAAAGTTGCATACCCAATCACCTTCAGCAAATAGGCTCATTAGAACAGGATTCTGAAGATCTCTCTTTTTCCTCAAAGCATAAACATTGAGACATGCAAGACCAAAGCTCCATAGCAGTTGAAGCCCCATAGATGCAACCAAATAGCTGAAACAAAGAACATACAAAACATCAAAGCTGCATCAAATAAAAATTATTCTAGTGCATTTCTACTCTATTTTAACCATCTTTTACACCCTATGGTCCCCATCAAGCCTAAACATTTCCCCCCTTCCCAGGAATATAGAACTATAAGATTCCACAGGATATAAACTTAAATGCCATCTCACATCTAGTTAAAACAGCAGCTTTCAACATTTTCACAATAGAAACCCACACTTTGTGAGACATCAAAAATGAACTAGAACAAGTTCCAACAGTGTTGCATATTTGAGACCTCAGTCATGAATAACAGAAGACACAAAGAGAATACATACTCTAGACAACTATGTACTCAAGTTCATTCAAACCTATACTATACCTCAATCTTGAGTGCCATTGGCTCGAATGAATGGATGTGTCAGACTATCACTATAAGCATAAACAAATCTTAAAACAAAGTGATTGCACCATGCATGTTAGCAGAAAAGTTTAGCAGAAAAGTTGCACAGAAATCAATTCCACGCTTCAAACAACCAATTTTTGAATATTTCCCTAGACACCATAGTGACAATATTATCAGCGTGTAGATGATTCCTTCTGCTTAACCAAGTAAGTTACAACCAATTTGCACAACTTCATATTCAACTTAAAATACAGTTTCAGAAGATTTGATAGGCTTTAAAATCACAACTTCTAATACCTCATCCAATAGTCATTACAAATTGAAGTCAATAAATTCTCATTCATTTCCATTTTATAATACAAAAAACACAATTTAGAAATGAAACCCTCTTCAAACTAGGGCCCAAAATTGATCTAAACTTGAAATACTGAAAATGGTACTCTTTTTACCTGATAAATGTAAACCAGTAAACCCAGAGTAGCAAAATTCAGTTGCATGATTCATATAACTATTAGTAATTTGAACGAATTTGCACCAACAAGCTGATTAACAAATTATGTCCCCCAGCCGACTAAGTAATATGATTCAAACACGTCATTTTAACTAAAATTTAGTTAATAATTAGACCTCAAAATGCTGATACAATGGCAAAAAATCAAAGAAAATTAAAATTTCCATATACACCGAAATAGGGGGCACAAATCAGAAAAGGTAAATTTGAGATCAAATCGAACGAAGGGGGAAAGGAAAAACATAAGTACCAGAAAGCAGTGTAGGAAGAGAAATCAGAGGCAGAGACCATGACCTTCCCGTACTTGTCGAAGAGTGGAAACAATTCATCAGCAGTTGTACCTAAACGGATTCAAAATCAAACCAAATCGAAGGTTTCTAATTTCTGTCAAGCCGGTGAAAATGAAAATGGAGGTCAAGGAAGATGAAACAAGAATTAAATGAGGTTAAGGAAGATGAAAAGGGAGAAGATGAAAAGAGAGATACCTGAAAAGACGATCGTCCGCGTCTCCGGTGAGAAGGAGGCCACTGGATCGCTCGATTTTTCGATGTGGAGCAAGGTACGCGAAAGCAAAGGAAAATGACTTACCCTTTTCAAACGGTAAGTCATTTTACCTTGTTTTGCTTTGAGTTTTTCGTTGATCGTAAAACAAATTCTGTTGACCCTCTTATTTTACGGAAACCAAACATAGAAAAACAAGGAAAACATTTTCCGTAAAATGTTTTCCCTCAACCAAATAGACCCTAAATGATAATTTAACTATAATATAAAAGTCAAGGTAGCTATTAAACCATATAATTGATTTATATCTGCCATAAAACTACCATAAGAAACTCTGTCCAAGTCTTGATCTTGACGTATTTACAAATTTCGTTAGTCAAATCTCAAATCTATCAAAATCAACTAGTACTAATTATTTTATCTTATTATAAAAAATAGTGAATAAGTCAACCCAAATCAAATAATAAAAATATACATAATTCAAGTTTAAATCCATATTTATATTTTAGAATTTAATTCGAGTTCCGTTGAGTCAAAATATTAATTCACTAAAAAAAATAACATTTTCAAATTTATTAGATTAATAATTAATTAAATAAATAAAATTTAAGTTTGATTATTTTATTCACTAAAAAAACTGGGATATGAAGAAAATGTTTATGAAAAAGTTAATTTACTAAATAGATGAAAGTTTCAATTTTCGACAGTCATGCTTTATGGTAGAGTTTGAGCTCCTCCAATGTGAGCTTAAAAGGTTGGAGGCTAAAATAAAGCAATATTCATACGAAATTCTAAGAAACGACAAAATAATATAAGCTAAAAAAATGATGCAATTGAAAATTTTAAACGGAAAGTAACAAACAATAGGTTGCAAGTATTTTAATATAATATAAAATGGCTTAACCGGGTAACTTATGTTGTCGGTAAGTATCGATACTTTTTTTTTAAGAATATCGATATTTTCAAAATTTTTAACATTTCAGATCGTAGGCTATTATTCAGATAGCAACCAACTTATTTTGTTGTCATCTAAATGAATAAGGTCACATCAACTTAAAATATGATAACATTTCAAGGCGCAACCGAAAATGTTAATTATATTAATAACATTGACGGATTTTAACTTATTTTGTGACCATTAGAAGGGTAACAATTTAAATTTCAACCATTATTATTACAATAACGGATAACTTTTTCGGTATCTAGATATAACATTTTGTGTTGTAAACCGATTATATTGTTACTTTTCCCCCAAGTATTGATATTTTCAAATTTTAAAAAGAAGAAAAACGAGAAATGTTTAAAAGTATCGAACGTTTCTACATATTTCGATACAAAGGGAAACACATTGAGTATTTATAGATAACACAAACAATTTAGGGAAGGTAAAAGCCACAATCTGAGAAGAAAATAAGATGTTTTCGTCTTTAAAAGTTGTTTTCCATCTGAGCAATAGACATCAATACTGAAGAACAAATCTGAAATCGCAATTTGAAGAACAGAGAGGTATGTTCTTGAAACCTTAGTTTGTAATTTTTTAATTAACAGATTTTGATTTAAGGATTAAAGTTTAAATTATAGGAAAAATGTAATATAATGGATTGATTATTGTTATTGGTTGAAAGAATGGAAAATGATTGGGGTTAGTAAAACAAGTAGAATGTAACATTATAGGTTGAATGGAAAAAGATTGGGTTGTAGATAACAATATAGGTTGTACATGATCGGTTACTATAATAATCAGTTATGACTATAATCGATCATGAAAAATAGTTACATTTATATTTACACAATAATTTATTACAACAAATATTGCTGAAATTTATATTGTAATGAATGAAAATGAAGAATATGAAGATGACACCACGAGCACATAAATTGTGGGAGGATTAAATGAATGACATAGGAGGTTTTGACATATCAATTGTTCTTCGAGAAGAAGATGTCTTGGAGGATCAAGAGACTACTGAGACAAAAGGAAGGCCAAAGTAACCAATGGCCCCATATATGCACTTTTAGTAAGTAACCATATATTTGTCTAATAATTGTTTGAATAGTGGTTATTGATTAAAAGTACTTTAGATGTTTATATTGTTGAAAATTTTGAAATATTTACAGTGTGAGTGAATATCGATGGCTGAAGGGAGTTTTGAATAAAAAGGTTGGTTCTGTTTGTATGTAAATTGAATTGAGAAGGTTATAGAGATGGAGTATTATAAACATTATTGATAAATAAACATTGATTGTAGGTGAGAAAAGAAGCGACAGTTAAATGGAAGTTGATGAACTAAGAGGAGAAAGAACTTTATGTAAAATTGTCGAAGAAACGAAAAGAAATATATAATGCATGGAGGAGTGCACATGAAAAAGGTATTCCTCATGCTGTCACGATTATATAAACTTGTAACTTGTTTTATAAAGGTTGTGTAGAAGATAACATAACATTTTTTTAATAAAGGTAGGAAGTGTCGACAAGATGTAGCTTGATAAGATTGCATTAATTGGTGGAAGAGTTGAAAAAAAGGAAAAACTGAATGTTGTTAAAGATTTAGGATTTAAGAGTTAGATTGAAATAACAACACAAAAAATTCGTAGGGAGTTGTGTCAGTAGTTAATAGAAAATTTTGATGTAGAAAATCGTAAAATTAGGTTTAGTGAATATTCATTTCCTCTGGGGGTTCAGGAGGTTGTACCGGTGTTAGGGCTAAAAAATAAAGGAATTTGTGTCAAATAAGTAATTGAGGGTGAGGATTGGAAAAAACTTAGCATGATGTATAATATAAAGACTATGGTTACATTAGTTAATCTGGATGAACAAATAAAAAACTGTAATTACGTGTAATACCCCAGATATCGGGTTAGTGACAAAAGTATAAGGATTTAAAATTTAGTGGTTTAATTTTGATAAATTGAAATATTCAAGGATTAATTTGGAAAATTTTGTCTAGGACATTTTATCAAAGATTGAAGAATAGAATGACATAATGGTCTTTTAACAGGAAATGAATTTAAAATTTCTTTTTAAGGTATTTAAACATGTGAGAAATTAGAGAAAAAAAAAAGAAAAATCTAGAGAGTTATCTTCATATTCTCTTTTCTTTTCCACCGTGAACACCATTGCTAGGTAAGTGATTTTAAAGTTGATTTTAAAGTTGATTGTTTCTTGTATAGGCTAGTTGAATCTTATCCATAAAGCCGGGGCGACTAACCAATTGCTCTAGAGAGACAACTCAAGCTTTATTGTATATATATTATAATCTCCTTTATCAGGCTAGCTGAATCTTATCCATAAAACTAGGGAGATTAACTAATTGCTCTAGAGGGTCAACTCAAGCTTTATTGTATACATATAATATTATAATCTGGGTATACATATCCAATTTCTTAAGTTTGTCAAAAAGAATCTATTGTAGTCTAGGTGTTGTTAAAAGTTAAGAAATCTCATCTTTAGAGTTCAATTTTCAAGCAACTGACCTAAACTAGATTCGCCTACTCGACTATTCTATCTGTGAAGATCATTATCATCATTGAACCTCCTCAACAAAAGTATATTAATGGAATACGCAAGAGATGCCTCATGTTGTCTGCTCCTATGCATGTCGAATACCAAGCCTCTTGTTCATTCCCTTATGAGAGGAGAAGGCTATATCGGTCCCTGCAAGAGAATGATATGATGTTCAAGTGTGTCTTCTGGGGTAAGGTCAAGGGTCGTTGTTTTACTAATTTTAATCATGCCACATTGTCAAAGATCTATAACTCCAATCATTTACAGAGTTTTTAATTCAGTTGATATTCAAAGAATTTTAAGTTGTAAATTTGATTAAATGTTCACCATCTTTAAAGTAGCATAAATTCATTTAAATATCCTTACAAGAAGAAATATGAGAAAGTTCAAAAAACAAGTTCAAACAAAATGCTGCAAATTGAATAAAATTTCATCATAGAATGAAATGATCTCTTTCTAATTAGGATGCCCCGAGTTGTTGAAGTGGATCTAATTCTTGTTATGCATTTTCTGCACGATTCTCTTGAATGCGAAGCAGTTCTCAATAGTGTGCACTAGGACACCGCCATGATATTCACAATAAGTATTCTCATCATACCACTTGGGGTATGGGGGCTTCATGGGTTCCACCGGGTATGGTGACACTACGTGAGTGTCAAAAAGTTGTTGATACAATTCTTTGTAAGTCATGGGAATATGATCAAAATGATCCCTTTCACTTTCTTTCCTAGGTTCCCTTGGATATTGTCTAGAAGTACCTGACGGTACAACTGCAGTTGCTTTTGGGTTGGAGATTATAACACCTTTATTGGCGTTATAGGTGTTGAAGTTGTTGATATCTCCATCCCTCTTCTTCATAGGAGATTTCTTACTGGCCTCCCATTCATCGATCTTGCCTTACTTTATGGCCATTTCTACTATTTCCCCGGCCATGACTAAGTCAGAAAATTTTCTAGATGTGATTGCAACCAAGTACCCGAAGTAAGAAGCCTTTAGCGTCTGCATAAAGAGCTTCATGGTTTCCTTCTCATCCAAGGGTGGATGAACTTACACAACTAAATCCCTTCATTTCTGTGCATATTGTCTAAAACTTTCGTTATGCTTCTTCTCCATGCTTTGAAGCATAACTCGATCTGATCTCATATCATTGATATATTTATATTGTTCTAGAAATGACTTGATATGGGATCGGTTTAGTTGGTTGTACCACCGGATGGTTGAACCAGACAGACTTTCCTGGAAGCAATGAATCAGGAGTTGATCATTTCCTACATATCCTGTCATCTTTCGATAGAACATGGTAATGTGGGCTGACGGGAAATTGTTCCTATCAAACTTCTCAAATTTCAGGGATTTGAACTTCGGAGGAAGAACCAAATCTATGACTAAACTGAGTTTCACGACATCAACTTCATAGTAGTCATGATCTCCTTTAACCACCTTCATTTGAATCCTCCAATTGCTTGATTTTCTCTTCCATTTTCTTTGCCTTGTCCTCTTCATCCAAATATGATATATGGTAATCACCTGGATTATTCTCAGGGTTGGATACAGACGTCTGTACTTTTATAGCAAATGAGGCTTTAGCTTTTGCAGCGGATGAGTCCTCTTGAAGTCCTGGTAAGATTCAGGTGAAATAACCACTTGCGGGGTAGGTGGCATAGTTGCCCCTTCAGATGTTCCTGCCCCCTGGGGCACTTGC